CCCAAGTACCAAAATAATTCTACAGGGAAAGGACAGTGCTTTTAAGAAATGATGTTGAAACAACTTCATAACTACATGGAAAAAGCAAAACCACAGCTTTACCTCATCATTATGTGTTTTGCTATTTTACACAGATTGAAACTGAATATAAGCCTAAATGCAAAAACTGAAATGATAAAAGTTCTAAAAGAAAATATGTATAAACTTTGGGTCAAGAGTCATCGGTTAGGATAAGAAACATGTAAATAACAACAAAAAAGGTAAATCAAACTATTAAATGTTTAATTGTTGGATCTGTGCTAAATACCTTCAAGAAAACAAAAGAGAAATGGAAAAGTACAGAATGGAAAAGTAACAATGCACATATCTAATAATGGATTTAGTAACAAGAAATATAGAAAGTCCTAGAATTCAACCACCAGAAGAAAACCACAATTTATAATAGATATTTGAATAGACAGTTTATAAAAGAAGATATACAAATGACAAATATGCACATGAAAAATAATATCATTAGATGTGAGAGAAATTCAAATTAAAACTACAATAAGTACCATGACACAACCACATCAACAGCTAAACTTAAAAGAGTTATTTATATCAAGTGTGGTATAAATATAGGCTAGCTGAAATTATCAGGCATTTCCCCCATGGATATAAAATGGTACCAGCAGTTCTGTAACTATATATATTTATGAAATTAAATATGTGCTTATCATAAGGTCCTACAATTTCTCTAGCTATTTTCCAAAGAAAAAAATATTCTCTCAATATTTGCACATAAATGTTCATAGTAAGCCAAGTGAAAACAACCTAAATGCTCATCAACAGATTAATGAATTTTTAAAAGTGTAATGTATCCATACTGTCTGATGCTACTGAGCAATAAAAAATAAACTATGGTTATGCCCTATGACATCAATGAATCTCAAAAACATTTTGATGAATGAAGGAAGCTACCCTTGCCCTGACAATGAATATGTTCCATAATGAACTGTAGGAATGACTTCTGCAAGCTAAAAATGTAAATTTAATACTTCATAACTCTTCCTTGCCTCTGATCCAGAATAATGTGTGTGTGTGTATGTGTATGTGTGCGTGTGCGTGTGCGTGTGTGTGTGTGTGTGTGTTGGGAAAACATCATTGCTGAGAGCAGCAACATTCCACAAATTATTCCGTTGGCATTGCAATCAACAGCTGGGATTAGCTTGATAACATCTGTTTGTGGTTGTATGTGCTGTTCTGGGTCAGTAGGCATCAGAAAGAAAATCCTTCTCTAATAAGACAAAATTCATCTTTTCCTTTCTCATATCATGCTGAATGTACTGGTTCAATAAATAGAGAAAAAGTTCTCTGTTGGAGGGACCAATTCTAAAAGAACTCACAGGGGATAAGTTCTGAGAACAGAATGGGCTCACCCTTGGCTGTCTTTGCTCACACACCACCACATCATGAGCATTTCATAGGAAATACTAGGGGGGAAATCTAAACTCTAATAATGGAAAATAGGATCATAAATGAGATCTTTTTTACTTTTTATTTTATTTATTCTATTTTATTATGTGTATGAGTATATTACCTGCATGTATGTAAGTACATGCATGTTGGGCAATGCCCACAGAGGTCAAAAGAAGGCATTGGATCCCCTGGAACTGGAGTTATAGACAGTTGTTAGTCACCATGTGGGTGCTGGGAATCAAACCTGGGTCCTCTGTAAGAGCAATCAGTGCTCTTAACCACTGAGTATCTTTCCAGCTCCAAGAGAGACTTTTTAAATACATCAGAAAGCATTTGGGATATTAATAGCACTGTGACCAATAAAGCACTATGACATTTTTATAAACTAACTGGCTTTTTAACTAAAAATATTTATTTTATAAAGAATCTATAACTACCGAAAATTTAAAACCAATTTACTTGTCATAAGTAGAAGATAACTATCTCAAACAAACAATAAAGGAATATTGATGCATTTCTGTTAAGTATTTTGTTTTTCTTTGTTTAATAGAGAGAGGAGACAGCACTGTAAAAATGGCTCAGTGGTTTAAAAGCACTGGTTGTTGTTCCAGAGGACCCAAGTTTGGTTCACAGAACCCTTGTGGATGGCTCACAACAACCTGTAACTCCCACTCCAAGAGATACAACGCCCTCTTTGGGCTTCTCCATACACACAGACATACACACACTTGTTTTTTTCAATCTGGAAAAGAGAGAGAATGAGGAAAGTTCCACATGGTACACCATACTTAGAATCTCAGCACTCAAGAGGCACAGGCAAGAGGAATACCACATAATTTAATTAAGAAAAACAAGCGTTAAAGATATATTAACAAAAAATGATATATCTTAATATAAAAATACTAAGAATTAGATAAATAATTATGTAATTCAATATTATTTAGTATCATTTCTTTTTTAAATGTTTGAAATTATTGATGAACACAAAGTGTGCTGGATAGCTTTAGTGTCAACTTGACACACCTGGGTTAAGGGAGCCTCAGTTGAGGAATTTCCTCTATTGGACTGGCCTGTGGCCATGTCTGAGGGGCATTTTCTTGATGAGTGATGTGGGAGGGCCCAGCCCACTGTGGGTGGTGCCACCCCTGGGCAGGTGGATCTGTGTTGCATAAGAAAGCAGGCTGAGCAGGAGCCAGGGGAGCAAGCCAGTAAGCAGAGTTCCTCCATGGCCTGTGCTCCAGCTCCTGCCTCCAGGTTCCTGCCCTGAGTTCCTACCTTGGGCTCCCTGATGAACTGTGACCCAGGATATGTAAGCTAAATAAACCCTTTCCTCCCCAAGTTGGTAGTGGTCAGAGTGTTTTGTCACAGCAACGAAGAAACAAACTAGGACACAAAGTAATTGAACATTTTGGAGTTCAATCTGCACTTATCAAGTCTGGTATCATTTACCACTTCATGTCAAAATCCTTTCATGTACCTCTCTCTTTACCAGTTTCACTCTTTAAATGCTTTTCTAAGCATTATTTCACATATTGCAACTTCAAACACTATTCTTGGTCCATTTTGTGCCCTAAAACTACCTGCAAACTTATTTTCCATCACACTTCCTCTCTGTGCCTTACAACACAGATTTCCAGGATTTGATGGTGATATGATTTGTTATGGACACTTTCTTCCCTAGTTACCTGTGAACCAGAGACATCCTAAAACAAGGCTCATTATATTTGTTGTTAATCTTATCCATGACAAAATACAAAAATGAAGGGAGCGGAGAGCTAAGCCCTGCTGGTGGTGGCAGAGGCCTCTTATATAGAAGACCTTGTTCTGCCAGTCATAATGGGTATAAGACAAAACTGATAATAACAAAATCTCTTTCAGGACAAAATGTTACTTACACAGCTGGACATTTTAAAGCTCCCAGTAAGGTAGAATGTAGGTCCTTCCCAACTCAATTTTGAATTCTATCTACTATTGAGAAGCCTGCCTTCTACCCTCAGACTTGATCAGGGACCAATCTTTCTGTACGTATCTACTTTTCTGTTGCTATGACAAAATACCATTACCAAAAGTGACTTATGGAAGACAGAGTTTATTCTGGCTTAAGGTTCCAGAGGAAGAGTCCATAACGGCTGGGGAGGCATGACAGCAGACTGCTAAAGCAAGAAGCTAAGAACTTATATCTTCAACAGCAAACACAAAGCAGAGTAAACTGGGGTGGGGAAAGTCTATGAACTCTCAAAGCCTACTCCCAATGCCATACTTCCCCCAGCATGGCTATACCTGCTGAAGACTAAATAACCTTCCCAAACTGCACCACCAACTAGAGCTCAAGGGTTCAAATACTTGAGCCTGTGGGGGACATTTCTTACTCAACACCACATTTTTTAAACGTCAATATTAGTGAGGTAGGGTTTTAACATAATGAAGTCCACACATTTTAAACATTCATTTTTGTGAAGTTTGACACATGCGTATGATCATAAAAACGCCACAGCATTTCCATCATTCAGCAATGCTCTCTTGGTCCCACCCTTCCATCAGGGTTCAGCTGATCGTCTATTTTCTATCACTATAGATTAGATTTTTTGCGCATTCTTTTCCTTTTCTTTCTTTGATACACATCTCAGTTCTTTTCCTTTAAAATAATCCATGAAGATTTATGTTTGACTTTAGGTCCACAAATCACATCAAGAAATATAATTCATGTGGATGAATTTCCCCTAAATTGTTATACTATTGACAATGTTTTGGCAGTGATATGCAATTTTTTAAAGAAAAAAAAACCAACCTCAGCATGACTCCAGAGAATTCTAGCAGTCAAAAATATAAAGAACTGTAAAACACATTTCCTTGTCTCAAGAAACATTAGGTGATTTGATGTCTACCATGTTTACAGGTTTCGAAGAGTAAAATTGAATTTGAAATGAGCAGAGACAAAGCCTCACCTGCTGGAAGGTGCAGCGTGATGTTGTTACAGAAGTCGGTGAAGCAGCACGCAGTTCTGGTGACATTGTTGGAACTGTGGCAGAAGACTTGAGCATTTAATTCTGGGAGGGACACACAGGACTTGATCACCTGCTCTTTTCCATTAGTTAGCATGACAGAGGCCCAACACGCGCCTTCTGTTTGGCAGGTAAAGTTTGAAGAGTCACACAAAAGACACACGCACTTCAGTCCTGAAAAGAATAAGGTAAGAAGCTTCAAAATGCAAAAGATCACACAGTCATTCCATAGTACTTGAGAATAGAAATTCAATCTTGACAAAAATTGAGGACAGGTTTAAACTTCTGAAATGTAATAAATGCACCTTTCCAGTCTTGTTTCATTAAATAGGCCTCTCAACTCAGGATCCTTTTAATATTTTTTAAATTTATCCAATTGTTCCTATATTTAATATATTTTCCTCATCTACACTCTAAATCCTTCTTAAGCTCCACCCACTTATTCCTAAATCAATAGCTCCTATGAAATGCTAGGAAACAGTATCACAGCAACAGGAGGAGCCATCTAGCATAGCTTCTTGAAGCAGGTTAGGGTACGTGCAACCAAACAAGCCAGCGCTCTGTTCATTTACACTTCTGCAAACTTCTAAATAAATGTGCTAAACACAAAGCTAATTATAGAAATTTATGGGTCTAAAAGAAGTTGTCACATTTATATTCCTTACATCTTAAGACTGCTATTGTTGTAAGTACTTTTAAGTCCCTGATAACATTACACTTCCCTCTCTCTACTAAAGAATACATCTTAGAATAATAGTCATTTGAATATAGACTACAACTTCTGGCAAATTTTAATGCACACACCTATTCTAAAAGGAAAGCATATCAATAGACTATAACAGTAACAATAAAACTTCCAGAAATTTAACGTTGTTAAATTAATCTGTTTTCTACCATATGCCATCTTAACATTCCCTCTTAGTACACACACACACTCACAAACTCATGTGTCCAAATGCTTCAGTACCTATGTCTTAATGTAAATATTTGTCAGTCTGAAGGCTCTAGAGGTGTAATTTATTCAGATTTGTATTTCAGCATGGTATTTCTTTTTTAAATATTCTATTTATTATTTTTATTTTATGTGTATGAGTGAATTGTCTGCATGTGTGTAAGTGCAGCTGTGTTGTGAAATGCCCGCGGAGGTCAGAAAAAGGTAATGGAATCCTTGAAACTGGAGTTATAGACAGTTGTTAGCTGCCATATGGGTACTGGGAATTGAACCCAGGTCCTCTGCAAGAGTAGCTGGTGCTCTTAACTGCCAAGCCATCTCTCCAACCCCTCTCGACATATTATTTCTAAATACTACAGTTCCAAATATTTGTGTCATGACTTGAATGAACATTTTGTTAAATCCTAACTGCCCCCCAATTATCTTAACATCCAAAATTTTGTCATATAACCACTGTTAAAAAATTAAGGCCTTTAATTTGCTATTGCAAGTTAAAGTAGAATGCATTTTATAGTCATAAAATATTTAACTTATAAATGAGTAAGCATGAATAAACACCCTCTATCGATAGTTATATGCTACGGTAGAATGATATATTTATTCTAAGTTGACTACAATTCCATAGATGCAAGTGTACAAAATCTAATGATTAAAAAACATGGCAAGGAGGCTGGAGAGGTGGCTCAGCAGCTCAGAGCGTGTATCGCTCTTATGGACAACCTGAGTTCAAGTTCTAGCACCCAAGCCAGGGAACTCACAACTGCCTGTAACTCCAGCTCCAGGAGATCCAATGCCTCTGGTCCCAATGCACACCTGCACTCAAGTGTACAAACACACACAATTAAAAATAAAAAGAAATCTTTTAAAAACATGGTAAGACACTTTCCTTAAATAAAAGGGAGCTCACAAAATGAGCATCCATGAACCCAAGTGTCTCTGACTGTGGAATCTCCCTAGCATTTCAGTCTGGTAAGGGCCTTCAACATGTGATTGTTCAAGCTTTATGATTTTGGGATTACTTGGTCCCTCTCTGCCTCCATGTCTTCATCTGAAAGGTGATAATTACAATGGCCTCCTCATAGTGTTGCTTTGCAGAGTAAATTAATCTATGTAAATCTATTATATCCATTTCTGGAACATAGCAAATATAAAGTAGTACTAATAACTTTCTCTCCTACAGCTGTAGAAAGTAAAACTGGTTTTCTTATGTAAAACATCAAATGATCTCTGTAATCCACACCGGAATAGCTATGCAAACCAGGATGCAGAGGCCACTTAAAGACCTTACAAAGAAGTATGCCTATCTCTGCTCTGCCAGGGGGGAATGAATGTCCTCATGCTTTCCTCATGGTTCAAGCTAGAACTTTCTCCCACTCCATTTTTTTCCAGCAACTGGGAATAAAATATAATTCTAATGCAGAAGAAAGAAATTGGTAATGACATAACAATTTTAACAATCAAGATTTTGACCTGTGGTGTTTTGATAAGCTGTAAAATGCAGTTGATATTTTTTTAAACAAACTTCTTTTTGCCACAGTGAGTAGACAAAGAATCAGGAAAGGAGGAAGGTCTCGGGCCAGGCCTTGTCACTTAGCTGCTGGCGGACTCTTGAGCTCCCCTGTACCCTCTAGATATGAATCAGAGCAAGGGCACTGGGTTCAGAAATCTTGGAGTCCTTTATGAAACATTTGAGGACTCTAAAATTACAATGTATGGAAATCTGATACTATAAAACATGGAAAACATTCAATAATTAAAACACTTGCCCTTCTAATTATTCTTCACTCTCTTATACAAGGGGCTGAATGTGGGGAGACTAGCTCTCTGGTGCAACACCTCAAACCCTTTATCACTCTGCTCATCAGAATCGCTTTAATCTACTTCATGAAGAAGCTAAGCTGGGAAGTCAGGGCAACTAACTAAGGGATGTGGATCCACTGAGTGAAGGCAGCCATCAGGGACTCAACAATGAAGCACATGCTGGTCTCATGAGCATGCACAGCAGTCTACAGTTCCCAGAGCAACTGTGGGAGTTGGCTGTCACCATCACCATTAATAGATAGAAATGAGGCTCAAAAAGGTAAGCAATTGACTTGATGTAACAGTCTCTAGACACACAAGCCATGTTTCTATCCCACCAAAGCTGAAATGTGTTTAAGAAGTATTCTGGCCACCCTTCCAGTTTTTATAAACTGTAAATAAAAGATAATGTTACTAACAGGAATAAATCAGCAATGATTGAGATCTGCAATTTTGATCTGTATTATTTCAATCAAATTTTAAACACAGTGGATTTTTTAGGCAAATTCTACCTACCAATTTTCTGGCAAGACAGGTGGTCAAATAAAAAAAAATCAGTATCATGTGCTTTGCATCTAGAATTAATAATTTCACTTTTCAGCTCATCTAAATTCTGTACTAAGTTTCTAAGAACCCCCACACCCCATATTTTCTCTTCCAAGCACTGCTGACTGTATCCTTATAAGAATAATTATATATACTTCTTATCAAGAAATAATGTCAATTTTTCACTAATTACTTAGCAGGTTATACAAATTTCCTTCAGTTTAAGGTGAAAGGTACCAGCCAGTATAATCTAGACTTGAAGGAAGACAGAAAACGACACCTGACTTTAAATTTTGCATGATGGAAAATACTGACAAAACTGAGGATTTGCTAATGGTAATGAGTTCAGACATCTGTTAAATGCTCCACTCACTCCAGGTCAATTGGCAGTACTATTGCATGGACAGGGGACAGATAGCAAACCAAATGAGATCTATAATGCATAAATAACATACCACACATTCTAACTCCCATTTTTCATCCTGCCAGTCCACTATATGGTTGCGTTTGGCATATAATTACAGTATATTTACAGCAACCATCCCCAGCACAGAACCTTTAAGCTGCCAGTTAAAATGTAAGTTGCCATTAATGATTATACTTAGACTTTCTATCTTGTTTTTTAAAATGGGATGCTGATTGACTCAGTCATTCTAGAATATTCCATAATGGAAAAAATCTGGTTGTTGGGAGATAGTAGTCTTTCCTTGTGATTCTTTATTTTATACTTTCCCTTACAGTGTACTTAAGTCATATGATAAAGGAGAGCAAATGAGGTTGAAGAAAGAGGCAATTACCCATAATAAGGAGGTCTATTAGATCTTTTCCCACAAGGAAGACTGTACTTTTCTTGTGTCTCTTCCCAGCCCTTTAATTATCTCTCTTTTTCTCCCTCTTTGCCAATTAGTCTGTAAAAGCCAAGACATCTGTTACCCACAAGACATCTGTTACCCACATCCACCAAAGGATGTGCACATTCCTAATTGACCAGAAAGTAAATTTTCATCCATATTCACATGTGATGACTAGCACACCCTGGTGTAGAGAAGTGTGAAAAACATCAAACCACAATGTATGTGTGTGTATGTGTGTGTGTGTGTGTGTGTGTGTGTGTGTTTACCTTTATGTCAGTAAAATGGCAAGTATTTTCTACACAAATATGTTGCTTAGGATAGTGTTGTCAATATGCTAGGCTTCCTATTACCTGTTTCCTATATTTAAAAAATTATTTATTTTTATTTTATGTGTATGAGTTTTGCCTGCATGTATGTAAGCACACCTGTGTGTGCAATGCCTGTGGAGGCCAGTAGAGTGTGTTGGATTCCCTGGAGCTAGAGTTAAGGACAGTTGTGAGTTGCTATGTGGGTGCTAGGGGGCAAACCTGGGTCCTCTGTAAAAACAGCCAGGGCTCTTAACCACTGAGCCATCTCTCTAGCCCATTTCCTACATTTTAAGCCTATGTGCTAAACTATATAGTAGCCAAGGCTACACACAAGCATTTGACTCCATTTCTCTTCCCATTTCTCTTTTCCTAGCTCTGATTTTAGACCAGGCTATCAAACCTGATATTTATTTTAATTAGATCTCACTTGTTGAATAATCTTTTCATTGTTTGTAAGCTTCTGAATTAACAAAGGGAGCAACCCAAGTTCATCAAGAAGCTGAATGTAAACAGGAAAGAAGTGAAGACAGCTGGCACTAATGACTACGAAGGGACCCCAGAGCCTCAAAGCATCTACTTTTGCCTTTCACATTCTCCCTCCCTCCCTTTCAGACTCTGTCTTACTATGCTGCTATGGTGTCCAGGCTGATTCTAAGCTTGGGGGAGCCTCCTGTTTCAGCCTCCCAAGTGCTTGAAATACAGACACCTACTA